AAATCAGTTATAAGATCTTAAATTTTATATTAGATAATTTGATCATAAATTCTGTGTAATAAATGTGTAATATTAAAAGTGCTTCAATGGGTGTTATGTGTAAGTGGTTATGTTGTTTCCGTGGCTTTAAAGTGTAGTGACTTAGCTTGTGAGTTTACAGCAAGAGTGTAGTATTATTGTATTTTTTTTAATATATAGCTCAAGCTGCTTCTACTGGCTCAACAAGTGTTGTTGTACTCATACTTGACTTAGTATATTAATTGATTGCTTTTATTGTACAATACTATTTTACAATACTGTAGCCATTTTTATTGTACAATACTATTTTACAATACTGTAGCCATTTTAAAAAAAGTCTTAAGGTAAAAAAATCAACTTTGACTTTTATACAAAATAGGCTAATTTAGATGCCTACAAACGTTATTGAATAAATATTTTCAAAGAATTTTGAAAATATTCATAAAAGTTTTTAGTTTCAAAAAATGTTCCTCTAATAATTATTTTTTAGTTGCATTTCAAGTATTTTTACGTGTCATATGAATGTGGTGTAGTATGTTTTTATTATGTGTTATATAAGGCTATATGGGTTTATATTTTGTTAGTGTTTCTATGTGTGTGTTGTTAGTAGTTAAATTATGAACAATAAACTCTGGATTGTTATGTTACTTGTTAATTTTGTGATGTTATTGTTGTGTTGATAGATTAGATGACTTGGTTTACTTTAATGTCCGGGTCTTTAATTTAAAATGATAATTGGGTAGTTTCATTACTGAATCTGACTACATATAATCATTCACTAAAAGCTAAAGATTCAGTTTTCAAATAAAAACAAATGTGTATATCATTTTGATCATTTAGCCTTGCTTTTTTGAATAGAGTTGTTAATCCAAAATTGCAACAATAAATCTTGAAACTTTCACAAAAGATAAACAACCTCACAAAGTATGTTTTTTATTTGTTATCTGTTTAGCCACATTTTTGAGTTTTAAATAAATAAATAGAGTACATAAAAAACTGCATTAAAATGTGTATTAAGTGTATTCAATAACAATTTTGTTCCGTTTTTTAGATCGAATTCCTTCTCCTATGACTGATTTTGAAAGTTCCTACATAGCAGAATTTAAGAAATATTCTGAATGTTGATTGTCTAAAACGAAGCTTGATAATCTTCACACCATTTAATAAAGTCTTCACATTATTTAATAAAATAATGTTTCAATTTAAATTATTTTTATAAGTATTTTTGGATACTTTTTTATGTTGAATATAAAACTTTTTTGTATTTTTTTTAAAGTCTATTTTTTTAATTTATCCTAAGAAAATTTTTTTGTTTGTTATCTTTCTATATGTGAATGGAAACCATTTATACTTTTATCATCTTTTGTACAATCAAGACGGTTTTCATTTGCATTAAGTATTGATTGCACAAACAACAGGTTTAAAAATTTATTTGCCTAATTCAGCAGTAAAAACAGCTTAATTGTACGAATTTGTTAAAAGTTTTTTTACAGAAAGGCTTTTATAAAAAACTAGCAGAGGTGCCCACATCGCTGGACAACTGCAAAACAAATCAAAGTTGCTGGTGTACAAAAGAAAACCCGCCCTCCAAAAAACAATTACTTGACTAAAAAACTCTCAATCCTGGGTACTATAAAAAACCCACTGCAGAGCCTCTTGGTACACAACACTAAAAGTTCTTCCATCCAGGGATTTTATATGCACCATACACACATAATTTTATATATATTCATACACAATATTCATTTGAAAAGAACAATGCCCCTGTGCCAAGTTGACCACCACAAAATAAAAGAACCAAAAATGAATTAGTTACCACCAAAAAACAATATTTCCCACCCGTTCCCCGCAGCAACATGTAAAAAGCAAACCGACCCCCTGAACTGACTCCTAGAACTGCAACCCCGCAAAGAGCACCAAGGAACATTCCGGAAAGCCCCAGAATGCTCTGGAAAGTGATAGAACAGTCCCACTGTGCATTATGGAACACTTCGGAAAACCCCGAACCACTCCTGAAAATTCTGGCTTGCTTCGGAAAAACGTGGAACATTCCAGAAAACTCTGGAAAACGATGAAACAGGCAACAGCAATCCATGAATCACAACAGAAACCGACAAAAATCACATCATAGGAAATGCTCAACCCGTCCCCCAGACTATTCCGACCTCCAGCGAACTCTGAGATCACACCTGAGGTTATCTGCACCCCCACCCTTGGAGGCAAGGAACAACTTTGCACTTCACAAGGAACACTCTATCTGGGCCCTCCTCCGACCCAAAATGACCATTTGAAAGCTCCTGCTTTCAAATGGTCAACTTGACATAGCCTATGTCACTCCCTGGGTCATGGGGATCATCCATGCCAAATTTCAAGTTTCTAGGACCAACGGTCTGGCTGTTAACTGGGAACGAACAATCAAGCAATCAATCAGAATTGACAAATATATATAAGATATCAAACAGATAGAGCTAACTTATTTGAAATAACTAGATCTCTTGGGCCCATTTTACCACAAGGTTCTATCTTTGCTCCTGTACTGTTTCTTATCTACAATATTGATCTTCATGAAAATTAAAAGTGGTTTTATTTGCTGAAAACTTAACTTTATATTCTTGCCTTGACAAAAAATCTTTTTGATTGATTAGAACAAGCAGACAATTTTTAATCTGATCTGTCTTCTGTAGCAGCCTAAGGCTTGCAGTGACTTATGGATTTAAATTCTAGACTTGAAATTCACAATTTTTGTTAGACAACAAAACATTTATTTACTGCAAAAAAATTGCAATAATGTTGGCATTCCTATATTGATGAATAACAGCCCTCTTACTCTCAGAAAAAGTCTAAAAGCACATTGTAAATGTAATTAGACATACTTCATCTGCCAAGCTAAAGCCACTCTCCCATTGTTGTAAGGCTGCATTTCTTTCTACAATACTATTGGCCAATGCTCAAACGAGCTATCATCTCTACTACGATAAATCAAAACACATTTAAACAAGCTATCTTCTCTCTTACGATAAAACAAAACTCATTCTTGCTTGGCTTCTTATTCAATAAATTGCATTTTTTTACTCTATCTGTCCCTTTATGCTATAAAAACTTTTATTAATCCAATTTTTTTCCTCGCACATCTCACCTATCTTCATGTTTTTCTTTTTTATACATCTTACAACTTTTTAAGTCTTCAGTTATATGTTTCCTAGTATTTTAACTTATTTTCTATTTAAAGTAACTAATAACTTAATAGTGGTTGCTTGCAATCTTGTTGGAAGTAAATTAGAGTTTAAATTCATATAAATATGTGCCAGTATTTAATAAATAGTAAATGTAAGCATAAAATTATAATAAAAAAAAGTATTATAAATTTTTTTTAGCCTCGGCTATCAACCCCTGTTAAATTTTATAATTTTTCTGGGACCGGATCCAGGTTTGCAAAAAGTCTCATTTTTAGCTGGGGACGGAGCCTTAGTAATTTCGGCCAGAATTTTGTTAGCAATTCCAGCAAATCTGGTTCTGGCCAGAAACCAAAAGTTCTGTCAAAAATCAAAAGTGCAGATTTCTTATTAGTTGAACATTTCCTAATATTTTGCCTTAACTAACTAATATTTCATTGGTTAAGAGGCTTAATAATTATTTTTTAAACCATCAACAGAGACTTAAGCTATCAACAGAGACTCAAACCATCAATAGAGACTCAAACCATCAACAGAGACTCAAACCATCAACATAGACTCAAACCACCAACAGGGACTCAAACCATCAATAGACACTCAAATCATGAACAGAGACTCAAACCACCAACAGAGACTTAAACCATCAACAGAGACTCAAACCATCAACAGAGACTCAAACCATCAACATAGACTCAAACCACCAACAGGGACTCAAACCATCAATAGACACTCAAATCATGAACAGAGACTCAAACCACCAACAGAGACTTAAACCATCAACAGAGACTCAAACCATCAACAGAGACTCAAACCATCAACAGAGACTCAAACCATCAACAGAGACCTCAAACCATCAACAGAGACTCAAACCATCAAGAGACTCAAACAATTAACAGACTCAAACCATCAACAGACACTTAAACCATCAACAGAGACTCAAAACACCAACAGAGACTCAAACAATCAACAGAGACTTAAACCGCCAACAGAGACTCAAACCATCAACAGAGACTTAAATCACCAACAGAGACTCAAACAATCAACAGAGACTCAAACCATCAACAGAGACTCAAACCATCAACAGAGACTCAAACCACCAACAGAGACTCAAACTATCAACAGAGAATTAAACCATCAATAGAAACTCAAGCCATCAAAATTTTAAATTTATTTGCAGTTATATAAAAGAATTTATAAAACTGCAAATAAATACTATCACAATTTAGGAAGTATTGCTGCAATGCAATTTTTAAGTCAGTATAAAACTGTAAAAGTTGGTATATATTTTAACCTTACATAATTTGAAGGTTACATAAGTTAGATATTTGCAAACACTTATTGTTCGACATTAATATGATAAGATTGTGAATATACATAAAAGAAGCTATAATTATAAAAAATGTGATAATTAAATACTTGATTAAATAAACAAACTTTTAAACACAAGTTAAAAAGTTTAAAATAAATCAAGTAAATAAGAAATAAGTTTTTTATAAAAAAATTATTATTTTAAGGAAAAATCATTTTTTTATTTTTCCACAAATCTTTCATTTGAAAAGGAAAATTTTATTTGAATTCTTTTATTTATCTTCATATATGCAAAAATCAAAAAAAAATAATACAAATTATTCTTAATGTTTTTTTAAAATTTTACAAAATGTGCATACATTTATTATTGCGTCCATAAACTTTTGTGTACCTAAATTTTTGAGTTATTTATTTTCTTTTTTACGGTTTTAAATTAACTTTAAAAAACACTTGTTGGATTCTTTTTAATTTCATAACTACAAATAAAAATATAAAACTTACAATCTAATTGCACTGAAAAACTGCAATGGACTTTGTTAAAAGATTGATCTCTTGCTGAATAAACTATTGTGTGTTTTCCTCTTGGAAAATAGCTCCCAATTTGGTGACTAGGGTGAACAACTAAATGAAGTCCATCAACATTATCATAAAATGTAGGTTCTTCCCAAAACAACTGATGAGGAAAAACTCCTGTTTCTAATAAAATATCACTTGGACAATGAGTAATCATGGGAGGTTCGTTATCTAGTATAAAAAAAATATTGAAAATTTTATATAGCAGATGCTACAAAATTATATTGTTTTTTGTATAACTAAAAATTTATGTTTTTGAAAAAAAAAAAAGTTTATTGCAACACTACCGCTGACTAAAAAGTTCACTACACAAGATCTTTGGTTTCCTGAAGAATCAGTAGCAGTGTATGTGACACTGAATGGACTTCCTACAAAAACCTTTAGTGGTGATATTTTATCCATTGTTATTTTCGGCAAATTTCTACTATTGTCAGTTGCTGTTGCCTCAGGTAAATCAATGATGCTATAGTTTTTGTTTGGTAAATTAAAAATTTCAGATGACAATACTGGACAAATAATATTAGGTGGTTCAACATCTATATAATAAAAAAATTATCAAAATGAACCTAACTTTTCTGTGTATATATATATATATATATATATATATATATATATATATATATATATATATATATATATATATATATATATATATATATATATATATATATATATATATATATATATATATATATATATAGACCTAGGATGAGCGCCACTTAAATTGAACTCGCTCATAAGCGGCGCTCAAAACTTCTGAGCAAAGCGTGAGCGCGAGCGACTTCAAATTTAGATGAACGTGAGCACAAGCGAACGCTTTTTTGATAGCGCTCAAAAATTACGCTCATTCTGCGCCTTCTAACGGCCAAATATTGAACTAGTTAACATGGAGTTAACTCCATGTTGAAATGTGCCATCTAGCGGTCAAATATTTAACTTTATATTTAAAACAGCACATGTATGAAACCAGCCAGAGAAACTTCTTAATTTTAATACTGCAGTTAACGTTTAGCGTTGTTTCGATTTCATTTTTTAAAGTAGTTAGTTTAAAAACTTTTCTGAATTTAAAAAGCGAATATTGAGAAAATTATTGAAACTTTTTTATGAGCGGATTTGTAAGCGAATGAGCGGAGCGCCTGCTCAAGAAATTTTATGAGCAGATTTGCGAGCGTCCGCTCATAAAAAGCTGCTGAACAACAAATTAAGCGCCGCTCAGAATTTTCTGAGCAAATCCTAGGTCTGTATGTATATATATATATATATATATATATATATATATATATATATATATATATATATAATATATATATATATATATATATATATATAT